AGATAGTCTCTCTCTCTCTTTGTGTGTGTGTGTGTGTGTGTGTGTGTGTTTGTGTGTATTTAAGACAATAAAAGGTATGAACAGAAGGGGAGAGAGCAAGAGAGAGTATTATATCACTCAGGTATGTTTTATCCCAGCAATAGAAAATAAACTAACACAGATGATAGAGGAAAGTTGTTAAGATGTTAATCATTTAGATTCTGGTAATTGGATGAGAATCTAATGGAGAAACAAAATGATCCTGTTGCCTTTGGCTCACTAACTGTAATCAGCTAATACTTTCAACATGGTTTCTAGGCTTAAGTCTTGTCCAGAAGTCCCCCATAATACTTATTTGTTATCCAAATAAAAAAAATAGAAAAGGCTTGAAGCAACTCTTAGCATGTATAGTCTCATGGTATGTGCTTAGGAAGAATGTTATATTATTGAGGTATCAAATTATCTTGTTGGACTCTCTCCCAGTGATATTGACATTCCCAAGGTGTTTTCTCACAGGTGCAGGGGAGGAAAACTGGACTGATATGGACAGGAACATTTCTAAAGCTTCATTCTTTGCAAGTTGGAATCATCACCCCTGGTTTTATTTTCCTTTTTGAGAAACAAAATGTTGATGGTAATTGAGAATGTATCATGAGGTGCTTTGAGCTTGGAAATGTTCAGAGTCTGTGATTTTTAATTGCATATCTTATTGTTGTTTGGATATGAATTGTAGTTTCTCTCTCTCTCTCTCTCTCTCTCTCTCTCTCTCTCTCTCTCTCTGTATGGGGGGTGGATATAGGTTTTGCTATTGATAATAAAAATGTAAAAACAATGCTTTATGTCTCCCAAGTAGCCTCAGTCAAATAGAAAAATTTTTTTTTTCGAGACAGGGTTTCTCTGTGGTTTTGGAGCCTGTCCTGGAACTAGCTCTTGTAGACCAGGCTGGTCTCGAACTCACAGAGATCCGCCTGCCTCTGCCTCCCGAGTGCTGGGATTAAAGGCGTGCGCCACCACCGCCCGGCCAAATAGAAAATTTTTACCAAAAAAGCATGTGCATGGTCTAATATGGACTCCAAGGAAGAAATTAGATAGCTGTTACTTGGAAGATATTGTATGGAGGAGAAGGAGGGGAAAATGATGCAATTTTATTTTAATTAATAGTTCATTAAGAAAGAGAAAGAAAGAAAGAGAAGAGAAGAGAAGAGAAGAGAAGAGAAGAGAAGAGAAGAAGGAAATAAAGTTCTTTAACACTGACTTGGATGCCTCATGAATAGTGAGAGAGAAATCTGTTAGCTTGCTTTTGTCTTTAGACCTTTAGCACTTGCAGGTACACACCTTAATAACTTTCATTTGTATATCTTAAAACACCTTGTTTTGAGCTTTGTATCTTAAAACACATTTTATTTAAAACATGGTAAGAAGTTATACTGAAAAAAAATATTTAGAACATAATAAGGAGTTGTGCTGGTTTAGTAAAGTGACAGCAACAGATTCTTCTCTAAGGTTCATGACCTCAGAGCCCTGGGGTGTTGTCTAGGTTTCTGGTAGCAGGCATGATTTTCCTCCTGGTGAGTGAACCTTAAGTTCAATTTGGTAGCTCTTTATTACCACCCTGTGAGTGTCACTTATTAAGACTTTTCTTGACATCATGCCATGCTGGCCATGGTGTTGCAGTTGGGTAGTACTGTTATCTGCTTCTCTTCCTTGTCAACTTGCATAGTATTTTCTGATAACATGGAGCTAGACTACAGGAAGGAGGCTTTCATGTCCTATCCAGCTCAAATCATCTGAGACCTGTGTCCTAAGTGTGAAGTGTCTTAAGAACTAGAAGAAACTGAGGCAAGGAAGGGCTGCTGTCTAGGCAGTCACCAAGCTTACACTCTGTCCTAGACAGGAGACATCACTTCACTCTTCAGAGTTGCTTGCTTTAAGCATAACCCTGGTAAATAACCTTTGCAAACAGAGGTAATTGCTATTATTCTTGACAGACCTAGCAAGATGTTCAGAAAAACTGGAGGTCCATGTAGGACTACTTCCAAATAATGTGTCTTCACCTGTGTATTTTTTTTTTAAATCTTCAGTAATCTCAAAGGGATAAAAGTACTTGACCAAAAAGCTTGCACTGCTTCAGGTTCTGTCTCCTTCTGTAAGTTTGCTTTCTCAGCTGTGTCCCACGCTGCCGTTTTCTTACTAGTCTAAGGATGGCTCTCATCTGACTACTCAGACATTTTTTTTTATCTCTGCTTTTCTGGGGATATGTTTCAATTGTATTAACAGGAAGGGTATTTTAGCAGACCCATTTCCTGCCTGGTGTCAAGATGGAAGTCGACAGTTTCTCTGGTTGGTGGAAACAAGAATGCTCAGATAGGCATCAGTATTGCAGCTCGCTCCTGCAGCATGACAAATTTCTTTCTACTCATGAGGCCTTGGGCCCTGTTTTCTCATTTGATCTAACACTCTGGACAGGTGTTATGTTATGTGTATGTGGTCATAGGTGAATTTTAATGACATTTCAAGGCATTCTTGAAAAAAACAACGTAATTCTGTGGATTGCTTTTGTCAAATAATAAAATTATTTGACATAAGTCTTATTGAAAACAGATGTGGAAATATGCAGTTCTTACTTTTTCTTAAACTATCCTTCCCTGGAGTCCTTTTGACTTATGCCAATCTGAAATTTGAAGTTGAAAGTTTCAGCATCTTTTTTTTTTTTCCAGGTGTGTTGTCTTTAATATACAGGGAAATTTGGTGGCAAGGAAGACTGAGCTTTAACTAAGCCTGTTACCAGAAAGACTGAGCCATTAGACTGCTAATTAAGTAGGAAATGATTTGCCTGAGCCTCCCCTGCCATAGACTAGAGCTGTAACACATTAGTGCCTGGAGCCATGGTTCGGACAGACTGATTCTATCTCATGCTTTTCACTGTGCTGTGATACAGTCACAGTTTTGATTTTCTTCCGTTGAACAAGAGCATAATTACCTGGCTCTGCCTTCAATAGACGACAATCTCTAATAGTCATTTAAAAATTGTACAAGTGTGATTCAACTACATCTTCTTAGACAGTGTTGAGTTTCTCTGTCCTTCTCTCCACTGACCCCCCTCCCCAGCACTTCTCTGTTGCCTCTGCGTTTCCCGGCATCCAAGTAGCTAAGGTGGAATGGATTATCTGTTAGTCAGACATGGTGTTTCCTTGACTTGAGTGAATCGAAAAGGAAAATATGGCCACACATCATGAAGGTGCTTTAACTTTGTGGATATACTAAGGAAACTGGAGGGGGAAACCCATAGTACCTGAGGAGTCACCTTCAAATAAAATGATGTTTTTTTTATTTCCTAGTCTTGTGGCAATGTGTTCCATGTGAGAGACATCCATCCTACCACATAAATAGGAAAAAATGGTCATTGTTGTAGACTGAATGTATCACCTCCTAAATCCATGTGTTGAAGCTGTGTCTTCCAAACATGACTCAATTTAAGCAAAGTGCTTATAAAGAAGTCATAAAGACAAAGTTAAGACTACAGGATGGGGTGCGAACTGATGTGGCTGGTGCCCCAATTAAAAGAAGAAAAACCAGATTTTCTCTTTTACCCCATCACATGAATACCCAGTGAAAAGAAAGCTCTCTGGAAGCTGGGAAAACCTTCCATTACTAAGGCAACCCTATCAAACCATCTAGGAATTCCAGCATTGAGAACTCTATTGCTTAAGCCCTATTTTGTCATATTTGGCTATGGAAGCCTGATCTAAACTGACTAACATACACACCACATTCTCTGCCTGTCTCCTCTCTATGTCTCTCTCACTCTCTGTGTCTTCTCTCTTTGTTTGTTTTTTTTTTCTCTCTCCAAACATCCATTTATGGTCAAAATTGGTTCCGCTCACCTTGGAACAGATGCACTGTCAAACGTAATTGAGAGTAGCATTTTTCTTATCTGTACTCTGTATTATTTCTCTGAAGTGTTTTTAGAGGGTAAACTTTATACAAATACTAGACAAATAAAAGAATATTTCTGTGACTTTATTTTCATTTTTCTGGAAGCTACAACAGATCGCAGCTACCCAGATATCCCTCAAAGTTCATGGAAGTATTTGCTGAACCATCTGCCCTTAGATTTTTATTAACATCTCTAAAAATATATGCATTTGGTTTCCTATGGCGTCTGTGCACCTGGCATAGGAGGTCGTAAACAAACACTTGATACACGATGAATGCTGTCCCTATTCACTGATCTGAGGCCTTGCTAGGCTTCTTACTACAACCGCTTTCTAAATGGCTATTTCTCCCTCTTATGTGGTAACATCTCCTTTGCAGTCCACAGAAAATGATGAGGTAAATCTAGAAACCTGTAACCTACCCTTGCTTGCAGCTACTTTGCCAAAATAATATTAAAAAGTCATCCTGGGAAACAAGTGAGGCAGGAAGGCAAAGAAAAACCCTTTTTGATGAGTTCAGAGACACTCAAATATACTTGAACATAAAGCTGGCTTCTGGAAATTCGGTGAGATATTGGGGGCATTCTTTTCACAGCATACTTAAGATTCAGGGAGGGCCGATATGTGACATTAATTCCAATGTGAATGAATCTACCGGGATCAAATGGTCTGTCTTCAGCTGTGCACATCACTGGTATACAGAGGAGTATTATCACAGGGTCAGTGTTTGGTAGTTCGCCCATGGGGTAGGGACTTGCGATATAACAATAAAAAATGGAGAATCATTGTGAGCTTCAACTCCTTGAAGAAAGTTACTTAGTCTAAGGGTATTGGGGAACAAAGAAAGGGGAATCTTCCAATACCATCACTACTCCCCTCATAGCAGTTAGCTGTAGGTGAAAATCTTGCCTCTGGGCTCTGACTGGAAACAAACTATCCCTTATATCTCCCCTGCCCCATCTACAGAGTAAAAATATAAATACTTGTGATTTAAAAATTATCACAGGTCTACATGCCTATGTAAATAAATGTATTACTTCTATCTTGTTGCTTTACTGGTCACTGATAAGTCTGGAGCCACTGAAATTAATCAGACCAGTATAGGCTGTTGTTGTAGAAATGACTTTATTTTCTATAAACCCATCTATTGATTTACCAAGCCTTTTGTGCCTTTCACTAACCATGTTTTATTTCACAAGTGGTTGGGAAGAGAAAAGAAGGAGTATGTCTTCTGTGTTGTAACCTCATTTGAAATGAATATAAATAGTAAAGATTCAAGCAGAATGCAAGTGCTTTCAAGCCCAAAGAGTTAAATCAACAACCAGATGAGCTACATGCATAAAGCACTGTCTTAGAGAGTCAGTCTCTTGACCACACTACTTGCAATGAGGTAATGGAACCATGGTAACCCCATAACCTTGATAGAAGGTGAACACAATACAAATAAATGATCAGTTTACAGAATGAACTCTGCATGACCGGCTTTGGTTTGAGTAGAGGCCTTTCCCAACTTTACAAGTCAGTGATAAATCTTACAGCAACAAGTTGGCCTTTCTCAAAAAATGAATTTTCTCCCAATGTTTTCCCATTCTATTCTTGCCAAGATTGAGTGAGTGTGAGGTGGAGATCTGAATCCACACAACCGTAGAAAATTAGCCTTTAATGGACCACCAGTGTTTGGCTGACACTCTGGCTCCTGCTGGGAAGGCGAGAAGAAAGGTGAACAAGTTGCAATATTAATAATAATAATAGCAAAGAGAGTTGACCATCTGAAAAAGAGAGCTGTCATCTGATCACTGGTGAATGTTGATACACTGGTTAGATTTGCCACTTGCCACTACCATGGGTCATCAGGGAAGAAGGAGCTTCAAATGGGCTCGTAGGCACGTCTGTAGGGCATTTTCTTGATTAACGTTGGATGTGGTAGATACCAGTCCACTGAAGATGGTGGCACCCTAGGGCAGATGGTCCTGCATGCGGGGGGAGGGGGAAGAGCAGAACAAGCTGAGGAAGCCAGTAACCATGGCCTCTACTTCTGTTTCTGTTTTTAGGTTCATAACTGAATTCCTGCCCTTATCTGTCTCAGTGATGGACAGATAAAATACCTGTAAGTATGAAATGAGTTAAAGTTTTTCTCCAGTTGGTTTCACTTGTGGTTTATCACAGCAACAACAATCTATGACAAGAGTCTGTAAGGTTAAAGGCCGGGGTCAGTGTTTCTCCTATGAAAACAATTGGTAGTACTATCTTGAATTTCATCATTCTTCTCATTTTTCTGACAGGCTTCATTGTTTAAACTGTGAACTTACTCTCTGCAAAATAAAAAAAGCAAGTTGTATATACTATACCACTTGGTCCAGGTCTATTTGTGTTCCATACAGAAGACACATGAAGAAAGAATTAGGACTTGGGTGTGTATCAAAATATGCTAAGGTAGTGAGTCGTATGAAACTTCTAAGGAAGAAGATGAACTCAAGTTTACCAAGCAGCCTCTCTGACAGGAACTGTAAACCTCTCTCCCGTGGTAATGTTATTCTGGTAATGACCTTTATGAAACAGACAGAGGATACAGAAATAGTACAAGACTGTTCTTGGTTTTACTCCATTGGTTTGTCTGGTCTTTGTTTTTCTCCCTGAATTAATTGGGACCAAACTGCATTAAAGTGATCAGTCAATTTGTACTTGGCAGAACTTAGGGAAATGCCACCATGTCCTGTTCTTGCCTGGAGATGTTCGTGTTGTGTTTGGCTTTTGTCCTCCTGTGATCTGATAAACCTACTGCTTGTCTTTTAAACTTGATCCGCCTGAGATTCAAGACTTGATTCTTTCTGGTCACCACTGGCTAGCTGAGCTGCTGTTCTCTTAAGTCATTAATAGGACTCTGGATATCTCCTACTTGTGTAGATTATCACAAACTTGCTGCTATTGGCAGACAAACTAATTAAGCATTCATTTGTAGACTAAAACAGCTTGAAACAGGACACACTGCCGACCCATGGAGCACAGGCTGATCCTGGCTCCTATGTGCAGTTATCGCTATTGCACACGTCCGTGCTGTTGGGCCTGTTACATTTTACTGTGACTTGTCCTCTCTAAAATTCAAGCCCAAATTTAATGTTAACTATGAGATAGTAGAAAGTGGAACAAAGAGAGAACTTTAAGAAATCATGTCCTGTCCTATTAAAAGGATTAATCTATCCCTGTGATTAATAGACTAATGGGTTACTGGATTGTCTTAAGGGCGAGTATTATAAAAGCCCCAATGGCTGGGGTTTTCCTGCTCTCTTGCCATGTGATGCCCTGTAGCACTTTAAAACACTGCTGGTAAGAAGGACATGACCAGATCCGTCCTTTCTTCTTTGAGCCAAAATCAATAGCTAAACTCAATCTCTCTCCTTTCTAACTTATCCAGCTTGTGGTATGATGTTATTAGCAATAGAAAATGAACTGATTATAAAACCTTTCTTTCTGTGCCTCTAGACAAGCGTTCACAGAGAACTTGTCTGTGAAAGCAATTCACTTCTCTTTGGATCTCCTTTGACACCTGAGTTAAGTGACTGTAGTGTGTAGTGTCCAGCACAGCATGGAGAGCTGAACTCTCGCCATAGGGACTTTTAACATCCCATTCATTCATACAGGCACTCTAATACCAATTGGACACCTCTCAGGAGTTGGGCAAAGGAAAAGTGCTGCATATATCAATGGACATCATAACAAGATACTATGACAGGAATGTTACCAAGTTAGGAAGACAGAAAATCATGTTAGCAGACAAGATATCCACGCTGATAAAGGCATGACCACGTTGCTGTTAAAGAAAGTAACTATGAATCAGGAGTTTGGATGAGGGTAATTGTGAGAAAACCCAAAGGGAAAGGCTGGCCAATGTCAAAAATACGAGTAGTCTGTATCAAATGAACTCAGCGTATGACAAGGGCATGAGACATGAAAGGAAAGATGTACTATAGAAACAAAAGGAAGACTGTTGTGGGCAGTGAGGAAAGGAAAGTGAACACACAGGATGAGGTTGTTAAAATGAGAACAAAACAGGTCACTCCATTGCATATCGATGTTTTGGGTGCTGTTCTTCACTCAGGGATGGTACAGAAAGGCACTAAGCCAGGAGGTGCCATGATTCTGCTTGGTAACTGTGAGTCTCACTTAGGTTGACAGGGCTAGATGTGTTCCTTAGTGTTGCCCTCGTGGCTCGTCCCTGTAAGGAAAGTCTGTGGGTGGGTGCAAGTTCAGTGTTGATCCTCTCTCCTTATCCTCAGGCACTTGCTTCCACAAAATGTTAACTCCAACATCTGTGAGAAGACCTTCCTTGACCTGGTTTCCCCTTGCCATTTTGAATTCTCCAAAGGCCAGAGCACCTACTTGAAAATACCCTTTAGACTCCTTCCCCAGACATCTGAAAGAATCATGGGTCTCTCAGTCTACTCTTATCCAAGACTCGAAAGTAGTCCAAACTGTGGCCATGACATATTGTGTGGGCTAATCTAAAGACCAGAAATGCTGATATAAAATGTTTCACTATAAGTATTAAATATGATTTTAATATTTCTCCTAGGGCTCTGGGCCTTACCAGACTGTTGAAGTTAAGTAGCATGGTGGGCTGATGAGCTGGCTGGAGTGTATGTCATCGACACTGGTAGGCCTTCCAGGACACTCTTGGCAAACAAAACCTTCCTTGTGAGGCATGGCTGCATCTGATGAAACTTCATTTCTAGGCAGGTGCTAGTGACATGGCGAAGTCATGAAGAAATGAGAAATTCAGTTGCTTCTCTCCTCTGTGGTCTGTCATGAGAGGAACATGACATGAGAGAAATTCCTACCCCTACTACACAGTGATATTTTAAGTACACAGAATAAATTCAAACACCTGGACCCTTTGGTCAAGTTACTGTGTTTTGCTCATTTGTGCAAAGGGAATTTGGAAAGTAAAACACACATTAGGAAAAAAACACAAACTCCCTCTTGAGAAAAAAAAAATAACCAGAAACAACAACAACAACAATGACAACAACAACTGAGTGCAGTGCTGTTCAAGTGAAGAAATAAGAAATGCTCAGCTAGACTTAGCTTGTGCCATAATGAAATGTTGAACAGAGAGTGACTTTGACAACAAAAGTTTGTTTCTCTGACTTTTGTTGAAGTCAAGTCAAGGTACTGGCCAGTTTGATTCTCCAGTGAGAGCTGCGTCCTCCCTCACAGACAGCTTACCTTTTGTTCTGCTGCCACACAAGACGGAGAGAAGCTCTGTGGTGTCTCCTATGCTAAGGACACAGAGACAAGGATGAAGTCCCTTCTTCATGGCATTCTTTAACCCCAACTAACTCCCAAAGCCCCGCTCTGCAAATAGTGTTAAATTGAGTGCTAGATCTTTAACATATAAAACTGAGGGAGAGAAGCATGCCTCCAAATCTATGCTCTTATTACAAAGAAATATACTCTTTCTACCTCCAAAGTCCCAAAACTTGCTGGTATTCTGTCCATTAGAGTATTTCTGCCCCCTTTTCTGCAATGTTTTTTTTTTGGGTGGTAGATGCAGGAGCTATGATGTAGATGTTACCTACTGGGGCTGGGCTCCCCACAATTTGCTGATCTCTGCCTTGTGTTCAGTTCTGGTTTTCTGTGATGGTCTCCACTTTGATGGGGGGTATCTGCCATCATCTGTGTATTTGTAAAGATTTGTTTGGAGTCATAGGATGTGATCCATTTTAGAGAAGCTTCCATGAGCTACAGAGTAGAATGTGTATTGTTTGGTGCTGGGGTGTAGTACCCTGTAGATATCTGTTAGGATCATTTGATGTGTAGATTTTTAAATTATGATATTTTTCTGTTTATGTTTCTTTTTTCTGGATGACTTGTTTATATGGGAAAGTGGGATATTAAAATAATCCACAGTTACTTTGTTTAAGTTAATCTATGACTTGTTTTATGGTTTTATGAGATTAGGTACTCCTGAGCTCTGCCTGGAACTGTGAGGATGTATGTGTGGGCCTGAGTCACCATGTTAGGCTGGCAACAGATTGTGAGACCAAAGCTAGATCTGAAGGTTAGGGATGGTAAAGGCAGTTGAGATTCCAGGAACTCCTCAGGCTGGGTCTGTGTACAAATATCCCAGGCTAGGTCAAAAGTTGGATATGATAATGCTGGGATCAGGAAGATTTACCAGATAAGCCTGGAGCAAAGAATATGTGACCAGGGCTAAACCTGGAGGTGGAGAGCTGCCAGGTGCGACTCACAGACTGGATTGGCACACAGCATGTGAAAACAGGGCTAGATCTAGAAACTGGGGAGGGCATGGGCAGGCTAGATTTGGGAATTTATCATAATGGACCAGAACCTAGCTGGGCCTGGAGGGTGGATGTGGTGCGGGTGGGCTAGAACCAGGCCAGTTCACTGACAACATTATTATTATTATTGGAAAGTATCCACATTTTCTCAAGTCGTAATAAGTGCTTATTTAATGGTTCTGTGCTGTATTCAGGAACCACTTACAATATCTCTCATGGCTAGATCAGAAGCCGTGAAAATGAAAGTAGACTGTGTTAAGACTCATCCAAATGAGTGTCTCAGTAATCTACTCTACTTCCCATATAAGCAAGTGGGGGAAAAAAAAGCAATGAGCAACTCTTCAGTATTGAGATGAGAAAATGTGAGAGCCTTTCCAGCTCAAGGCACTCATCACCAGGGCTTCATCATCTATTACACAGCAAACACAGCCACTGACTCTAATCCTTAATGAGTATATGCGACTCCGATAATATTTATTGAGTTTATTTGTTTGAGGGTGGCTGAAATGAAAGGAAAATAGTACAGCTTTGGCTCATTAGTCTCCTCTGACGTGTGCTGCAATTCTAAGGAAAACATTAGTGGCCTATTTTTAGCAGTACCTTCATCCGCGGAAGCACTAATCACCGAGGAGTAATCCTCGGGATGGAAAACACAAATTCCCAGAATTAAACTTTCTTGCTCATCTGTTTTCTGGTCACAGGAAATCTATCAACACCCTCATTTCTCATCAGCGTTGGGGACTGAATAATGATGCAGTCGTGCCCACCAGGCTGCCTTCATTTTCCTCTTTGCTGAGTTGGGCCCCTCCCAGCCTAGAGAAATGGAAAAGGTCGCTTCCTCCAGGAATCTCTTCCTTTAGCCTTCCCTTCATTCACATCTGCTAATACTTGTACATTGTTTGAATTTCTCCTCTCTGTTTACTCTGTATTAAAAATGTTTACAGACTCAAAGAAAGAGGAGAGGGATACTCATTGTCTAAGGTCCCTATAGTTATGATTGGTGGAGTAAAGGGTAGATAAGGGAAGAAGCTACAGTGTCTTCCCTACAAGGCTATAACCATGGAATGCTTCACTCTGGCCTGGTGGTGACTTAAAATCGGAAAAAATGGGATTAGCCACATGAAACCATCAAAAGCTTGCATCCGGTAACCCTCCCTCACAGGGAAGAAGGGCATATGGGACGGTCATGAAACAGCATCCCAGGCTGCTCCAGTAGCTCCCCAGGAGGCCCACAAGGCCTATTGCTGAAGCTGCTATCATGTGACTTTTTTGATGGTGTACCTGCCCCTAATTTTTTCATGCTCCTGTAGATAATCTCTCATCCACGCTCCAGTCCACTAAGCTAGACTTAGATGGAATAATTTCTTTGGTCTGTCATTGATGGAGTGTCTGGGATAAACAGACGCTTCTTCACAACTCGCCAGCAAAAGTTAACGCAACAGGTATATAACTCTTTAAGAAAGATTCGATAGAGTAATAGTCTTAACAGGTGCTTCTTGGTATAACTTCTCCTCAGCATCTGAGAGGGATACAGACCTCCACCACCACAACTACTGGTTGACACTAATTGAGAACATAATGAAGCTTGTGGACTCTGTGCCAAGGGAGATTTAGAAGAGTAGAATATGGGAAGTAGTTTGGAGTGAGCCCTGAAGGACTGACTATTCAAAGCAGGGACTTAGGAACAAAATGAGGCGTAGATTGGAATATAGCACCTTCCACTGTTTTGATGACATATGCAGTTTTAAAACAATAATATCATTAGCATTTATTTTCTTTGAGAGATTGGGAAAAGATAATTATTGGTTCAGCTTATGAGAAGTCCCAGTAGAGGGAATTGATTACTTTTCACACACTATTTCTTGCTTTGCAGAGTTGGTTAAAAGTTCCTGCACTGAACTTTTAAGTGATTTCCCATAGAAATGCATAATATGCAAGTGGTTCAGAAGAACAGCAATTCTATGACTCTGTAGAAAAGAGTAGAAAAAGTTCTATGGAATAAATATCAGTACAGCTTGGCTTTAGAGTTGAATATGATATGAGAAAGAAATGAAGGAGACACAGACCATCCAACCATAAGGCAAATGGTGGAAGAGAGATCAAGAGCATTTCCACATTGCTTTCCTGGTGTTCTATCCTGAATTCCTGGTATTTGTTAGATCTTTCCACTAAAAACAACACATTTCTTATAGAAAAAGCAGCAGTTTTACAATCGCCACAGATATGCCAGTGGAAATGAAATTTGTTGCTACTCTGTGACCCATGAATAAACAGCTCTTGTAAGCAGAGATGGATTGATACTCTGCACAATACCCCACCTCCCATCATGGAGGAAGTGAGTACATGGAGTAGCTTGAAGCCTTCTTTTATAGATGGCTCAGTTGTGTAAGCTCCCTTCTTTGAAGTATCCCCGATAATTTTTGGTTATTAGTAAAATTTCTTTTTAATTCCAATTTATGCTCAACTAAGCATGGGCACCCAGCTTCCATGCTTTCCCTCTGCGATGGATTGTGATCTGTCTGCAAATAGGAACCCGAATAAATCCTTCTCCCCATAAGTGGCCTTGGTCTTGGTGTTTAATCACATCAATAGAAAAGTTACTAAGCCTCTGTGCAACAGTTCTGGCTGCTTTGGGAAAGTATCTGGATTTCAAGTGAGCCAAACCTGACTTTGAATCTCTATACATTTATGCTTAACAGAACTTTCCTTCTGTGAGCCTCAGTTTTAGAATCTGTACAATAAAGACAAAAAAAAAATCATCTTTACAGACTGTGAGAATTCAAAGACCTGATTCAAGTACAAGAGAGTATAAAATCTGAGTGCTGAGAGACAGAGAGACAGACACAAGTCAATATGTGAACATAAAAATGAAGACCAGGGTAAAATATTTATATGCAAACTGAGGGATTTTCAGTTTCAGATTTCTTCCACCAGCCAGTAACACATATCCTTGGATTTTTGACTACATGGTATCAATGATGGAGATCTCATGTGGAGACAAGTCTCCTCGTCTTTGATTTTTTTGTACTCTTGAAGCTCAGCTCTCTGTCTTTTAATTGACAAGCTTTTTAGAACAATCCCAGTTGGATTCAGTGTGCCCCATACTGATGATTATATAGAGGAAAAGAACTTAATTACAATCGGCACAGTGTTGCCACTATCGCTTCTGCTTATCAATAAGACTTAGCTGGCGTGTCCTTTACAAACAGAACTGAGCTCACAGCCCGGCAGCATTGGTGGAAAGCTGGCCAAAGCCCAGGTGGAGGTTTTTTCTGGCAGGAAGGTAGGAAATGAACTGCGCTTGCTGTCACCGGTTCTCTCCGTTGTCGGAGTTCACGTCTCACTGCACAGGAAACAGATTCATCTGTGGTTTCCTCCATGAAATTTCTCCATGGAGAGAAAATATCTCCACAGTAGCAGGTAGGTAAGAAGGTGAAGTATTTCGCATTGGCAAGTGTTCCCTAAGTGGCCAGAATCCAGGCCCAGGTCTCTGTATCTTCAAGTGTAATCAGAGAACAACCAATTGGGGTCAGAAAAGTTGGAAGCTCCTTTAGGATCTGAAATTACTGTCTCGGATTCTTAGATAGTTGTCTGACTCTCAACTTAGCTATCAAGTCAGTGCAAACACCATTTTCTCATTATATTTTCTTCTGACGTCCTCTGCCCAACTAATACCCAGCTTTAGAACATTCACACATACATGTGTCCTACTCAATTCCTCTCGAGTTCTCACAAGATTTGACATCTTTCTAATGTCATGTTCAGCATCTCTTTTACCTCTAGAGAGACAGTTCTATGAAAACAGTGATATTGTTTATGTCAGTGTGTCCAGCATGTAGCCTGGACTGGATATAATACATGTTCTATAATGCTTTCCCAGTCTAAGTACTAACCAGGCCTGATCCTGTCTAGCTTTTGAGATCAGATGACAACATGGTCTATATGTTGTGGCAAAAAGACTCAATGAGTATTTATTTGTGAGTGAATAATGTCCAATCTCATATCCTGTCCAGGATTCCTGAATTGCCCCTTCCCCTCACTGCTCTGCATTCTTCTGCTCATTCCGTCATCCTTTCAACTTAATCAGTCTCTTTCCTTGCCAATCATTTCCTCGCAAACATGGCCCTCGTTACCCTCACTATAATCATCTTATAAAGTTGTTTGCATTTCTCCGAGTGGGGAAATCTCCATGGCCGTATACTCACAGATCCTAAAAGACTTTAGTAAAAGTTGCCCCCTTTGTAAAAATCAGCTACTCAGAATATATTTTTCTCCAGCTTACTTTTTCACAAAAGTTGGATGAGCCGAATAAAAAGCAAGTCATAAACCGTTTTTTTTTTTTTTTTCTGGTGACTTCTTACGTCAGGGACAGGTTAGGTATAATGGTACCTTGAATCACCTCAGGACTTCGAAGTAGAGGAAAACGTGTTTCTCCAGTGTGAGTAATTTTGCCCAATGTGGGGAAAATATCCGTAGAAAATGCCTGACTAATAAACAGTCAAGTTTTCGGAAGGCATACACAGACAAAATCCCCCTGGCTTCTCCCGTGCTCCCTCCTATGTTGGTGGCTTGAACTTGGGGGTTTTGTGGTAGAGCTAAGCATATGACCATACTCTTTGCTCTGAAGTCCAGCTGTCAGTGTGCAGCCCCTGTCTTCCTGTACGTAAAGCATCCCCTGTGCGTCTGGAGACGGGGAGAGAGGAGTCTGCCAGTCTGCACATGGAATTTGCAGCCCTCAGCTTCAGCACCTGTGGGCTGAGGGATCTGGAATATATTTGTGTTTCCTGGTCACAGTCGGAGCAATGAGATTTGACTCTTAGAAGGCAGGGGCTTATTGCAAGCTTGCTCTTAGTTCTTTCTAAATAGTAAATGCATTGCGAGAGTGAGACACCCTCTGCCTACTGAAAGCCAGAGGAATGTGCCTGGAAGCCAAGTCTAGACGGAATTCCTAGGTGGGGAATCAGTGGGGGCAGAAGTGCATGCCACAAAGTACAGCCCAATTTTCTGTCCTGTGTTTTTTAGCATCTTTATGTTTCTTGGTTTCAGCCAACATGAGAGAGGGACTTTGTGAGCTGTGGATGACCATAACAAGCGGGCTGGGGTTTCCACTGGTGATTAATTTAAATACTTCACCTTCCTTCCACTTCTAATCTGAAGTGCATTATGGTCCCCAAGGAAGCCCTAAGATTTTACAGCCCTCTGGTTTACTGAGGGAAACAGCAAAGGGAAGGAAAACTATTCTCTGTCACGTCTGGTTTATAGACACCTGTAATCAATCATCAGAGGAGTGGGGATTTACTGAAACAATTGCATTAGGAACGTACTAATCCCAATTGTCAGTGTGTTGAGTCAGATACAAAAGGAGAACACAGGAGACAGGCAATACCTTTCTATCTGGCTTTCTGAATACCCTAGAATAGCTTAGCGAGCCCTGGCCAAGGCAGCTCTGCACCACACAGCTGGCACCCTAATGAAGGCTGGCATCTCAAGCTCTCATGTGGTCTGTAGCCTTTATTTTAAAATGCTTATCCTTATCCCCACCCATTTAAACTTCCATGTCTTGAGAAAACCAACCTCTAAGCACTAGCCATCTTGTAAGTCCTATCCCCCCCTCATCGGTGACACATGCTAGTCAGCCATGAAATCCCCCTGGCTTTATTTCTTGTTTCGTTTCTACACAAGTACACTTCCATTTCTCCCAGACCGTCTGCAGGTTCTCCTTAGTCAAGTTCTCTGCCCAGGATCTCAAACTTATGCCGTAAATTCAGCCAGCAGCATTCCAAATGCGCGTAGCTTTGCTCTTTCTGGATCATGTTGTCATTTTTTTTAAATCATATTAGATAGTTTATGGTCCATCCAACACTACCGCTCCTACCCCAACACACATATTGAAGCATGACCTTGTTTTATGCCCTTGTTTTGTCTGCTTTCCAGGAATTTCTTATTTGTTTTACATAGATAACATTAACTTTTCAAGATGGGGGTAGAGTCTTATCTCCTAAATGTCTTCTCAATGGTTTGTCTTCCCTCAGACATTCTCATCTATTCATAACTTCCAAGGTAACTGTGAAATGATAGGATGCTATCTCTCGCTCCACTTTCTAACCAGCATTGAAATCGTATCTACGTAGTTGATGCTCACAATGTCTTTTTTGAGCCAAAATGATTGGCTTCACTTTCCTTCAAATCAGTGTTCTTGGGGTTTGTTATCCGAGATGGGCTTCACTTCCTAACGGTGATTCAGCACAGCTGCCCCTGATATCTTGGCTAAGAACCCTCTCTAATGCCCACAAGAGGACGTAAGGGGTTAGGTACCCAGGATCCTGGAGTCCATCCCTGGGCTTCCAATCCTAAATCCAGTCAGTGATCTTCCTGTAGCTTTAAGAAGCCTTTTCAAAGAGTATTTAATTTTAGAATGACTGAAAGTGGTTGTGTTGGGTGAAGTATATGGTCACTGTGAATGTTTATAATGTTCCAGAGTGAAGAGAGAGAAAAACGTAGGTCACCTGTAGGATAAGGACACAACGTTGTGCTATTTCTAAGGTTCTAATATTAGTCTTTTCAGATAGAAATTCTAGTAGTACTAGTGCCCGCTTATTTCTGTGTACTGGGTCTGAGTGTTGGCTGAATATGTGTGTCGAGTTTCTTATTTGAATGGGACTTTGTATATGCCCCATCCCCTCCATGTTCTGACACTACAGGATTTGTCTACTAGAGCTTCCATCCATCATATTTCAGGAACCCCGGAGCTCAGCTTACCGCCACTCAGCTATTTTTCATTACACCTCCTTCATCACAGAGGAACTGACGAACACTGAGGAATCTCCCTCGAGCACAGATTGAAGTGACTCTTCCCCTCAGGGACTCACAAGGAGAGGAATGCGTCATGAAGAGAACGGTACTCACCAGGCACTGAACTCAGTCTTTGTAACAGCTGATTCCAGCGTTGCTGGCCACAGGTAACCATAACACGCTCTGTGAGAGGCGCCATAGAGCGAGGCGCAGGGGGCACGTGCAGTGGGCTGCTGAAAAGACACTTGTAGCTTCACCTCTCGCTTGAAAAACTCCGAAGAGGCAACTTGCATGACTCCAGGTGCAAGGGCAGCATCTAGGTGGTGGGTGATGCCTGAGAAATAGCCAGTCCTTCTGTTTGCAGGCTTGTGTGGTTTCTGTCTGCTTTCAGCATTTTTTTAGTGTTCCTGAAAGAAGAGCAACGACGACCTAACAAATTGAAAGATTCTTTAACCTTTGGGTCTACAACTTAAAATTTAGAATTTCCTTTTTGACTTTTTAAAGATGCCTGTTTCACTAGAGCTATGACGGTAACATTCCTGTGCTCAGGTCTTTTTCAGCCTCTGCAGCCAAGCCATCTTAAAAGCCACCTTAAAAGGGAGGCGGCATCGGAGGTATGCCAGGTGTTTGCCTTAAGCCTCAGGTTCCTTTCAGGGACTTAGACTGCTGGCAGGACACAGCAATAGAGTAAGCTCCTCAACGAGCTGGTCCTGAAACAACGTTAAAACAAAGTCCAGCAGAACGTTTCTTTCTGTTTCTTTGTGTTACCTCTTCTAAGCAACTGTCCGGTCTCTAAGTAACAAGATACCAGTGAGGCCAGAGCCTGTAAAACTCTCAGCCCTAAACTTTTCCACGAAAAGCAGGGCCCCCAGGAGTAGTGGCACTGTGTGGCACTTTGCTACCCAGCATCTTCATCTTCTCTCACTACTTTCTCCATAAGAAAAAAAAAAAAAAAAAAACAACAACAACAACCCAGCTTTAACTGAATCTCATATCGGCTATGGAGTAATGTAAGCTGGGACTGGGTGTGGTAGCACATGTCTTTATTCCCATCACTGCGGAGGCAGAGGCAAGCGGATCTCTGGCGTTCCAAGCCAGCCTGGTCTACATAGCCAGTTATAGGACAGGCCGTCCAGGACTATGAAGTGAGACTCTGCATCAAAAAAAAAAAAAAAAGATTCATAGGATTTATAGGATTCATTACTATATGTTGATTATTACTTCATTGCTATTTCCTTCTGATTTTAAGTAGAATCTTAATAAAACACATTTCCAAATATCTAAGCATGCCACTGTCCTAAGCACTGTGCTTCCTGAATGCCACCCTGTCCCCAAGTCCCTCTAAAAGGGCCTACATTTTGCCAGCGATTTTTCTCTCCGTAATGAGATGGAAGTGTTTTGTTTTGTTTGTGAAATTTGGGAGAAGGCAGATTTCACTGAGAACTTACAAGTCACATTTAAAGCACTCAACAAGTTCGTATTAAGCATCACTATCTTTGTGTGTGCGTCCCTCGTTATACTTCCACACACACAGGCTCTTAAATTGGTCTCAGATTGTAGGAGTTTGCAATCTGGTTGATATGCCCGTAATTCATCCGTACCCCAAATGTTTTCCTACAAAGAGGCAGGCATTAAATAAATTCTCGTCCGCAGCTAGGCAATTACAGTTCCTTGATTGTAACAAACTCAAGTTAGACTCTGCCCAACTTGGGCTTTTTTTTTTTTAAAAATAGGAGTTTAAGATACTTAACTCTTAGAATTAAGGAAAAGCCTCCTTATGATTTTTCCTAAGGCAGCCCTATTGCTGGCGAGCCAGCGTAAGAATTGTGGGTTTAACTGCGATGTGGAAAGAAGCCATTGGATGGATGGAAAGGAGGGGAGCGGGTGATCTGCTTCACAATTTCAAGTAGAGCTTCCAGCTGTTGTGAGAACACTTTGTAGATGTGTGGGCTAAAATGGAGATGTCAAGTAGGGAGAGTCATTGCAGGGTCCAGGTGAGAAGGTATCGTCACAGGAAATGCCCATATGGCTACTCCAGAGAGGAGCAGACAGACGCCAAATGTAATTTTAAGGCTTACAAAAGGAAAAGAAAGCATCAAAAAGCCATCTTTTAGCCCATCTTTTGGGCTCTTGGCATTTCCACTTGAGCAGGGTGAATAACTGTGTTTCTTGTGTGTCTGTGTGTGTGAGAGGGGGATGGGACTAGAAAAGAACTGTAATTGGGGATGGTGGCGACAATTCTGTCCTGGCACCTTTTGGTGCTTGTGCGTCCATGTGGAGATGACACACACGTTTAATGCAGAGAAGTGAACGGGGAGCTTCATGAGGGGTCCAGTGCTGGGAAATCTACTTTCACCTTTTGCTCCAGTGAGATGTCAAGCGACAGTTCTGATAAAATGTCTTGGTTAAAGATGCTTCTATAGGACAAGAAAAGTGTGACATTTTCCGGCTGGTCAACAGAGAACAAAAGTAGGGGGCATGCGTGTCACTAGAATCCACAGAAGAAAATGTTAAATAAACCTGCATGAAATCTTGCTGCAAAAGAAACTGAAGAGTGTGCAAATGGATTTGGTGGCTTGAAAATCCTTGGAGTCTGGAAGAGATGATAGAAACGGAAGTCTTATTGGGATGAGTTAGGGAAAGGATGTGAAAGGCCTGCAGAAAAGTGAGGAATAGATATATTTTAGTTTTAGTTCTACTGTAATGGTACTGAAAGCCTATAGTATTATTATGTAAGTCCTAGAGACTACTATAATAGTACTCTAAGCCTATGCATGATGTGAAGTCTTCTCCCACAGTTTGGAGTAAGAACGTTGCACAAACTATTAGCAGCACAACTAGGTTTTCGTAATGGCCTTGCATACCGTTCACTTCTCCTGTATCCTTTTCCATCACGAAGAGGATGAGAAAGCTCTCTGGAGGTGCTTTCAGAAGGGCACTGTCCTGTCCATGAACGTCCTGCTCTTCTTCTAATATTGTCACATTGGTTGTTAACATCTTGTTCTACACACACTTGAGGACCACAGATACTCATTCTGAGACAGCAGAAGCCTTGAGATAGAAATAGTTAAAGCTGAAGGCTGCACACTTGCCTGGTGGTGATGGTGGCAGGATTCAGTGAGTTATGGAAGGTGGAAGCCCAGCTTTGGCGTAGAGAAGATGACTTGCAATCTGGATGCAGACTAGAAAAGTTACCTTTCCCTAGGTCCAGGGACTTCATGTCTCGAGGACAGGGAAGTGACAGGTCTGTAGATGCAGCGGCAGGGGATGGAAAATCTTTTGGGCAATTGCTAGTCTTCTCAGTAATGGGGTGAGAACGTACTGACATTGTAGTTGGGGGAGACAGAAAGCTGAAAGGTCATGGTTTAGAGGAGTCAAGACACGGGGGCAATGACACAAAGAGATGCCTGGCACAGCTCAGTTTCCATCTGAGAGTTTTTGACAGTTGTGAGGATCATTCAGCAGAGTTTGATTTTTCGTTTTACAGCAATGTTTTATGATTTGGGGGCAAACACTATAAGTATTCTTACTACTTATTGCTTACATTTTTTTTTATTTTCTGATGGATAGGTTATCATACAGGTGAGCCACAGAGAGACTGAGCAATTTATTTAAAATTGTGCTGCTTGGAAGATCTGGGGCCTTTTACAGACTTTGGCAATTAGAACTAATGGCTAAATTTTTTCATCCTTGTGTGTCATTGCTACGGTAAATCATATAAAGAGTCTAACGCTGTGTTTTGCTCATGGAAGGCATTCAATAAATGCAGTTATGAGACAGCCTTTAAAGAATGTTATCAACCACATTTTTCTATGAAGTTTAAAAAAGAAAAAGTGTGAAATTCTGAGCCTAGTCCTGGAACTTAACGAGTGTTAGTGCACAACCCCATCAATACCAGCATATAGAGAAATCTACATTGGTAATTCTGGTTGACAAGAACTGTGTTGCTTCTAAAGGCCACTAGGTGGAGCCACCAAAGAGCAAGTCTGCTCATTTACCTTCAGACTGAGTTCAGATACAGGTAGGCTAGTAGAAGCAGGACATGGGCAACCAAACAAAATAAATAAATAAAGAAAGAACGAGAGAAAGAAAAAAAGAAAGAAAGAAAGAAAGAAAGGGTTGTTATAAATACACACACAGATGGCTACGGAAAGAAATAGGGTTGCACTTAAAGTATATATTTGAGTAAGCAACTAAAACAAAGAGCATTTATATCCAGAGAGACTGTTAATTTGATAGGCATGCAACAAGGGCCAATGCAAATTTCCTCTGCTGGAAAGCTAAAAGAATCAGAAATCTTGCCTATGTTCTCTCAAAACCATGCAATACTACTAAATCTATGGACCAGACAAATATTTTCACTCCGGCATGTGTGTGTGTGTATGAGTGTGTGTGTGTGTGTGTGTGTACCCTTTCCATGCCTCCGACACAGGTAATGGATATGCCGGGCTGTAACTCAGTAGGGTTCACATCACTCCCCTACACCCAGCACTGCCTAACTTATAATTTGATAGCTAGCTCGCTAGCTGCCAACTCCGTCCAAGATCAACACATAAAAACACCCACTGTTCCCAGGAATGCTGCCTCATAAGGAGACAATCCCAGGTATCCCTCTGTTGCAACCCCTCCACGCCAGGTGGCTCCCCGAGAGAAACAGAGCAGCTAGCATTTCGTATGGGTTCTTTCCCTGTAAGCAGTGATGTCATGCAGTTGCAATTTTTGCCTGCTTATTGTCCTCTCACCCGTAGCCCTGTGACTCTATAGTATCCTGAAAAGGGATTAGATTCGATTAAAAATAAAACCCAAGTCTTATCGTTATCATGTCCTTTGGGTCCATTTTCCAGGGTCCACTCTTCCATACTTGGTTATCTTTCTTCTCTCTCTTGCTTCCTGGATCTCCCCACCAAGGCCATATGTATCTGCTTGTAGCCAGTGCAACTGAGCTCCCCAAACACAGATTCCCATGAAAACTGAACAAAAGAGGAGGGAGAGGCAGAGCATGTTAAATGTCTCATTAGGCCTTCTGTCTGATTCTCATTAGATTCGCTGACTGCTTCTCATTAGGCCCATTGCCTCAACTTCTTTCAGGCCCTGAATATGTAGGCCAGTGCTTATTGTCATGGTTGGTCGAGAAGATCTATTTCATTTATTCATAAATTGAATGTGGCTTCTGAAAAGTCCCAGGCAGTTTCTTTTGGCAAAGTTAAGGCGGGCTTATTGTTGTTATTTGCTATTTTTTGAGTAATCTTAAGCAGGGTGGGCAGGAGAAATAATTTAAAAGACCCAGCAGAAAACTTCAAACGCGGATTCAGAATTAGGGCACTGGGGAATAATTGTGGCAGCCAAAAGGCCAGCCTCCTGTGCAGACATCTGCAATAGGACATCACAAGCAAAGTCACAAACACCGCAGTGTTCACAAAGAAGCCACCGAGAGAAGAATGAGAATACAGGGAAGGAGTATGGCCATTAGTAAGTTACAACACGTGTTCTCCCAACCGTTGCAGAGCATGGGCAGAGAATGTTGAACTAAGAGGCAAATAATAGCGTGAAAAGGCTGCTGTGCAGTTTAATACTCTACAGCTTATGCATATAGTGCATTATCATGTTGAAAAGGCATCACTTACCTATCAGCATTCATCTCATCAGAACAAGAAGCTGCTGGGAAAATCTTCCAGGAGATGCCCAGTGGTTGACAGAACTTAGAACCGAAGACATGTTTACAATGATATAGTGGACATCACTTTGGAGTCTCAGGGGAGAGACATAGTTTCAGTGATACAAACAAAAAGTAAAGAGCCTTGGCCCAAGAGTATAATAATAATAATAATAATAATAATAATAATAATAATAATAATAATAAATGTGTTCCCTTTACTCTTGATTTCTTCCTTGATGTGGTATTCTTGTTTGGGTGAACATGGTGTATACCCAACC